AATCGTACCTAAAATACAAACATCGTTCAGGCTTCCATCCTCAGGTACCTAAACCCAGGGAGACTTCAGTTTTGTCGCGCAAATGGAATTGAAGTATGGAGATATTGTGATGCCTTTTCAAAACTAAGCGCGCTGTGCTTCTTTGCTGCCAGATCAAAATCGGTTTTTGGAGTCATCGACGTTCATTTGGTAGTCCAGTCGATACTGTTTACGGGGGTGGACACAGAAGAAGCTGAGGCACTTTCCTTAGCTTCACTACGAATCGTGCGTATAGAGGATATTGTGACCCTATTTGACAATCACGCCACGACTCATTGGGCATCGTCACGCGTTCAAGTGCATCATACTTATACTAGTGAGGAATGCAGTTATGTGCCATGAGGGTGGACTTCCCTGTATCGCCCTCACTCGCCATCCTCTCCCAGGCACCACTTTCACAGTTACAATTCCCAGACAATGATTCAGTCCCCCGAAAACTGGTCTTAAAACCTAGGAAGACATTGATGGAAAAGTGTTTGGTAGCTGGTAATTTTTCCCATAATTTCCCTTGGATACCCACCACCGTCGCATGTATTCTCGATAAAGTGGCGCACTGCAGAAGACCGTACCTAGTGCTATGCGAACTTCAACTATCTTACGTCGCGCCATACACTGTACGAATTACGAGGAAAACGCGACAACAGTTGGAATTGCTCAGAAGAAGAAGCGATCGCTGGAACAATGGCTTTATTCGCCTGACGTTTCGGATTCTCTCCTGAATCCATCATCAGAGACAGTTGCAGAAAAAGGTGGCTAGTGTACAGGCAGTCGCAGTATTTATAGGATGCAGTCGCCATGCTACCGCATACCTACAGCAATTAACCGTGCCCCCTTCATCAAGGATTGTTGCCTGCTGGTGCGCTAATTGCTTGATGGCCGGCATGCAAGTTGTTAATTGCTGACATCTCATCACCCATGTTGGATGCTGGCGTGATGATTACTCGGCCATCTGGCTCACGTGCTTGCGCGTTCCTCGAGTGGTCAATTGCTTTGGCCAGTCTATGCCTCAGGACAGAATATGGAGTGGGGATGTCGTTGCACTTGTTGATAGACTGAGGTCCCGTGAACCATGATTCAAGCAACTCGCGGGTCACGCGATTATCCCCTCTCGCAAGAATTTCGGCCTCATCGAACTTGAATGTGTGGCCGGGTCTCGTCGAATGGGCCGCGACCTGACAGTTGGCGTCATTTCTCCGTACAGCTGCCACGTGTTCGGCAATTCGCGTCCGGAGCAGTCTTCCAGTTTCTCCGACGTAGTTGCTTTGTCCGAAACTGCACCAGATCCGGTAAACGACTCCAGATGTTTCTTGCCGTGACAGTGGGTCTTTTGGTCTCATCACTTGACGCCTCATGGTGGCCTCCGGTCTGTGCGCAACTCCAACCCCAAGCGGTGCAAGAAGGCGGCTAACGGCCTCGGAGACGTTCTTGATGTACGGGATCGCTCGCCAGAATTTGGGGTCGGCCAAAAGACCCACTGCCACGGCAAGAAACATCTGGAGTCGTTTACCGGATCTGGTGCAGTTGCGGACAAAGCAACTACGTTGGAGAAACTGGAAGACTGCTCCGGACGCGAATTGCCGAACACGTGGCAGCTGTACGGAGAAATGACGCCAACTGTCAGGTCGCGGCCCATTCGACGAGACCCGGCCACACATTCAAGTTCGATGAGGCCGAAATTCTCGCGAGAGGGGATAATCGCGTGACCCGCGAGTTGCTTGAGTCATGGTTCACGGGACCTCAGTCTATCAACAAGTGCAACGACATCCCCACTCCATATTCTGTCCTGAGGCATAGACTGGCCAAAGCAATTGACCACTCGAAGAGCGCGCAAGCACGTGAGCCAGATGGCCGAGTAATCATCACGCCAGCATCCAACATGGGTGATGAGATGTCAGCAATTAACAACTTGCATGCCGGCCATCAAGCAATTAGCGCACCAGCAGGCAACAATCCTTAATGAAGGGGGCACGGTTAATTGCTGTAGGTATGCGGTAGCATGGCGACCGCATCCTATAAATACTGCGACTGCCTGTACACTAGCCACCCTTTTCTGCAACTGTCTCTGATGATAGATTTAAGAGAGAATCCGAAACGTCAGGCGAATAAAGCCATTGTTCCAGCGATCGCTTCTTCTTCTGATCAACTAGTTCCTGTAACTCGCATTTTCGCTTGTATCGGCAGTTGGAATTGCGTTCACCAGGTTCCGGATTAACAAGTTAACGGTAAATAAAGGCTTTAATTTCATCAGCAGGAAGTAAGCACTAAAGCTATACTGGTCAATGTTTCTCAAAGGAATTAACACAACCGAATCCATGATGATCAGAAGATCGTACATGATGAACCGCTGCATAGTCGATATCCCGCTAACTTGTGACAGGATCTGGGTGACGTATTCCAACTTGACGTCTCAACTATTGCTGCCGACCATGTCCACCGCAAGCCCCACAGCAAAGTGCAGCAAGGCGTCGGGCGCCAGCTAAAGCATAACCACCGTCATCTCCGTGTTGATGACCAGGCCGAAGTTGTCGCAGGCGGCGGCGAACAGATCTATGCTCCATTTCATGACGCCTTCCGAGGTGGCGTCGTGGGCGCAGTCGTTGGCGACGAGGTCATGGACGGTCGTTGCGCATACACGCGAATGGAAGTGCATCCGCCGGTGGCTGAGGAGTTATCCGTCCGTCCTGTAGGCGATGCGCACCCCAGAGCGTTCGTCACGGTAGACGTCCACCGGCATGACAGAAAACAGGAGACGCAGCACTGCTTCACTCCGTAGGTCACTGCAAATACCTTCGGGACAGACCCATTATCCATGAATCATGCCATCGTGGAGCTGGCGCACTACCTGGATGAGTCGTTCTGCATGACTTTCCACAGTCTTTCGCGATTCACCGCGTCAAAGGCTTTCGTCAAATCCACGGACGTAAAGTAGAAGTGGGCTCGCTACTCCTGACACTTTTCTTGCAGTTGACGGGCGGTGAATATCATGTCCGTGGTCCCAAGATTACGGCGGAAGCCTCATAGACTTTCTTTTAGGAGACCTTGTTCCACCAACATCACACCAACAATCTGATTTGTCCCCATTCTCCAAAGGAAACGCTTCCCACCACTCGAGGCTGGTGTCCGTACTGATGTACAATAGACACGAAACAAGTTGACAGGGCACTCAAAAACTCAAGTCTACTCTCGCACTCACAAAGTTAGCCGGTGTCGTTGTAAGCGACGTTTTTGCCTTTTTATATCATAACCTTCCGCCAAGATGAAAGTTGCCTTGCAACGTCCTATTTTTTACTCTAAATGCGGAGTGTACGCTGTTAGTCTAGTAAAATGACTATCATAATATTTTCGGCCGGATCGTAACCTTTCAGAATATGCGGTAACTACGTAGTGGATGGTCACGAACTATTCTTCCTCTTTCCATCTCCGCGGACCTTAGTAAATAGGCTTCTCCATTATATAACTGCCTGTCAACATAAATGCCTAACAGTATTTGTCCTATTTGTGTACTTTGCACACAATCAGTCTCAATGTCTCACAGTTGTTTCATACCTCGGCAGCCTGAATGTCTGCTTCTCTCCTAGGGACGACTTAATACCGTTAGCACAGAGGTAAATGACAAGTTTGTATTTTTAAGACATTAAAACCGGAATGGCGCTTAGTATGGCGCTGACAAATATTAATAAGTCAGATAATGTAGACACAGGCCTGAGGAGCAGGAAAATGGCTTTAAGTCCCTTGTGGATAGATGAAACCAGACGATTTATGGCGGCCTTTTCCCATCAAAGAGTCAGAAACAGCAGGCCTGCCAGTAGACAGAAGGTAGGGACAATCAGAGTGTATGCCAAGCTGGCGCCAATTTCGGCCCAGGAACCGTGACCACGCATGGTCAAAAGGCAAAACGATTGGGAAATCAGGAAAAGCCAAAACATTGTGATTGCGTTCAGGCTTTGCAGCGACTGATGTCCGCTCCCAATGCTTCTGCGCTGCCAGACTCGCGTCTTCACATGGGACACAACAAGCAACAAGATCGGTATGACCTAAAATACGAAAAATATGTAGTATAGTTCATGCAAGCTATAGTCCTCACACAAATGTTAGACTTATCACTTAATTGCTGAGTAATTCTTACGAATGGGGGCCACAGGGATTTGTTTCCCAGGAATCAACTCAGAAGACCTAGGTAATTTTCACTTGGAAAATATGTCTACTTATCTGCTTTGACCGGTATAACTCGACACGCATAGAAAAATTGGAAAAAATTGCATTCTTCGGCGATGGGTTCGCGCAAGAATTCGAAACGTCAAATAAATACCTGCTCTTCTGCATATTTCATCTGTTAGCTCGAAAAAGACGGCGACATGCAAGTGTACACGGAAATTGGAGGTTTGAGGGATTCACTTTAACCAACTAAATCATCAAAAAACTTAGCGGACGCACCATGGAATAAATGGTTATTTTCTGCGAAACGTATACGAACGTGAGCAATGTACATATAAAAGTTTCCAGAGCTTATTCTAATAGGACCAGGCAGGATGGAACATGAAAGTAAGGGTATTTCCAAGGCTCAAAACTGTGTCCTAATACATTTGGAGCGTTAGGCATATCCGTTCGACTTTTCCTTAAATGCAAAACTGCGCATAAGTCACAACTCATTTTGGGTTATTCTACGCGATGCATGAACATTTTACTCCAGTTTTGGTGAAGTGGTTTGGTTCAAAAATCCCCAATGGCAAGTAGGTCGAAAAATGCATTAATTAGTCTGCTGTTGCAAGTGTTGGCCGACAGCATATGCTTCGAAAAGTACATCTAAAGTATATTTTGGTGCTGCAAGATTCAGTTTGAAGAAGAGCAAAAGGCATTTAATATACTGACAATAGTTATGCCATCTCCCAAAAAATTCACAAAAGCTTCCACGCGAAAGATGCCCAAAGAGTTTGCCTCCGAGTCTAACGGTCATTCAGAGAAAGGTTTGCAGGAATTTACTTCAAATGTTGCGACAAAATGCATTTTATGCCCAGAAGTGTGATAATTTGTGTACATTTTTAACATTTTTCGAATTTTTTCTTTCTCTGTTTCTAGATTAGCTGCAACGCATGCTGTCTAAACTGAGCCCATGACCCAACAACTGTAGCCCAAGTTGCACACTTCGTTACCAGCATAATAAATCCAGGGGTATTTTCTATCGTAATAATCATATGAGCATCTTTGGATAGAATTTGCCCTCCTTATGCTGGCTTTGTTTGACCCTTTTCGTAAATTTCATTATTGGGATTGAAAATTTGCATGTAAGAAAGTTACATGCAAATTTTCACTCCCAATAATGAAATTTACGAAAAGGGTCAAACAAAGCCAGCATAAGGAGGGCAAATTCTATCCCTCCTTTCTGACGAATATGACTGAATTTATGAATGTTGAGAAAATTCATGGAAGCGGTACATTCCACGTAAATAGCTCTTTGTCATTTATTGTGGCTAACACAGGTGCCTGGACAGATGTGAAATTAAATGGCAAAATGCCATCGTACATAAAGTGACTTGATAATATTTCTCGTGGCAACTTGTACTGCAAACCAATTCAGGTGCTTTTGTATACTTGATGGGTGGCTTAAACATTTATCTGAAAGTCTCAGAGAGTTCAAAACACTGGAAGTAGGACACTATTTGGGTTCAAACAAAAACACGAGATGACAGCGACGCAGAGTATCTGAGAAGACGGGCACGAAGTACGTAACTGCGAAGATCTTGCAGTCTCTGGAATTTATTACGTGTGATTGAAACTACTGGAATATGGAGACGGCGCGAAAACAGTGAAAGGGCGTTAAGCCTCGTATCAACTCATCCATGTCAGGGTATGCCCTTGTCAAGTAATTGTACGTTGGTTTTAAAAAGATCCTTCAGTACTTAATGATAAAAAAGGGGTTGAACATTTTCAGAAAAGATTCCTGGAATTTTGTAGTAAAGAACAATTAGGCAAGTATCTTACCCCCGACAACATCACTCCTATACTCGGAAGCTTCTGCCACAAGCGAGAACTAATTTTCCTAAAACGGGAAATTTAATTCACACACAGTATAGAAGTGGATGGAAGATCTGAACTCATACGCTGGTTTTTAAACTATAAAAAGGAGTAGGATTATTTCCTAACGTGAGGCTCACATTGGTGCTATGTAAAATCAGGGCAAAAAACAAACTGGCAGAGCATGATAGTTCGATCACCGGAGTGCGAAGGAGTTCACCAATGCCTAGGCGGCGAGTGAGGCCGTGACTTGAGCCTGGATTTGCTTTTGGCGAGGCAGCCTTGTGCGGCATGTACCACACTTTTTTACACATTCACCATGCTCGGATGCCAAAGTAAAGTAGTCGGTTGGTTCATCTCCACCCAGAACTCCGCCGTAGACAGGCTGAATCTATGTTTTTATCGATGCCGTGGATGTTTTATCGATTCCGTGGACCTGCACTATGGAGTCCTTGGAATCAGGCACGATGAATGAAGTTACATGCATGCACAAACGGAGGCAGATCTGGGCGCAAAGTGCTGTGCCTACTTACCTGGCCATGTCGGAGAATAAATCGAGGCCGAATAAATACACCGAAAGTGCCAGAAGCTGGACGAAGTGAGTTAAGGGTACTATGGAGTAAAATACCATTTGGGGCAAAAACAATTCGGACAAATGACTGTACAGTTTTTTGAACATAGTGAGTCTTGCGAAAATAGCAGAGCTTTTGCACAGTCCTTCGGTTATCAGTTTGCACTCAGTTACGGGTTCTGTAAAGCGGACCGCTTGAAAGAAAAAAACTAGTGAATGCAATTTATAGTCCGAGTGAGTGTCCCGTTTGGACTGGTGAGTTTTATAATGAGGCGCTGGAGGTCCGACTTGGATGTGTGCATTCACCCCACTGAAATATGGCACAATGTCACATGTAATACGAGAATGGTGGTAATAGAGGCCCTTTACGAAGGAAAACGTGTTCATGAAAACATAAAAAGATGAAGATGGTTTAGGTGAGCACACATAACTGTGTCCAAGCCAGATGGGATTAGCATATGCCGGACCCCCTCCCATAGGCCAAAAACTACGCTGGACTCAGGAAAGCTGGATAATACGGAAACAGTGTAACATCCTGGATAATAAGTAGAAATCGTAAAATAAAACTACACAAAGGAGGCAAGTCCGTGGAAATCGTCTGGAAATGTGGGTTAACGTAACACGCTGACAGAAAATGAGGTCAATAAAAAATAATAGGTATTTATGGAAAGTGTGATTAATTACGAATCACAAAAGGATACAAACTGAACGTTAGCTAACAGGGTTGTATACATATTGTGGGCCAGTACCGATGAGTATCCCGCTTTCTACAAAAGAAAAAGTTAGGAGCGTTGGACAGCTGAATACTAATTGGCGTGTCAGAAACATGAGAAGGCGACTAATCCGTGACGCACAACTGGACTGTATTAACAAATGCGCTTATAGCAGCAATTAACGATAAGGCGGTTCTTGGTAAGACGATGCGCTACTACAAGGCCGAAACGTGCTCGGTACACATAGGGTGAAGTGTCAAAAGCCGCCTTGGGAGCGCGTTGTTTTCACAAGGGTTTAAGAAACTATGCGAATGCGCCTAGCAGCATGGATTGCTTAAATAAACAAAGCTGGTGAGGCGCCTGCATTCAACGAAAAGAGTTATAAAAGCATACAAACCCTGGCTTTGTGAGACCTGCAAACTAGTTCGGTTCAGTCTGCCTTTATAGCAATAGTTGGGGACTGCAATTTCATAGTAACGGGAAAAGTTCTTTGCTAAATATCGACTAACTCAAAGCCTAAGCTGCCAAAACGACTATACATCCCGACCTGATTATTCCTGAACCAAAAGTACCCTAAACCTCAAAGTTAGACTGTCAAGGGGGTAAATGAAGCAACAGCCGTTCTAGGTTTATTCACGATTCCCTCGCCTTACTCTACCTTCGAGTATTTAATGCGACTGGACATAAGACAATGTATGTACACCAACAAAAAAAAACAACTCATAGCTGCGATTTCAGTCTCCCTGTCCTTATCAATGTACCCTATTATTTACTTCGCTACTTTATCACCCTGAATATGGTCTCATGTCAAAACCCGGGGTTTCAGATAACGGAGCTAGTTTGGCCCGAGATTGCAAACAGACAGGTGGGTGGCTGTCCAGCCTGAATAATCTAAATACCGAACAGACAACTACTGTTCATACGAAAAGGCCCGCCTACCCATCCTTGATCGACCAGTTTGCCAGAATTCAATAAAAACTGGGCAACTACGGCGTTTAACTCGTTTTCCTCTATTTTACCCAGGTTCCGACTGCCTCCCATGTCATATATAAACACGGTTTCCTAGGTTAAAACATCGTAAAAGTTCCTTGTATATTCGAAAGGAGCAATCCTCATTTCTGCTTAATAAGCTATCCACAGGCGATCGCTGTTGTTGACTACAGAGGCTCAGTAATAAAAGACAAGAAGGGCTGGCAACTATCGCCGATATCTAGTCATGCATTTTGAGTAGGGAGTAAGGCTTGGTCCAAGACACATGAAAGTTTATCCGCCACTTACTCGACTCGATTGTTACGACTGCCCGAAAATGTTGCCTGCTGCGTCAAAGAAAGTACCCGAAAGATACTCGCCAGTTTGCTGGACATACAGAATACCAGTCTCGGTGAATTCCTTAAAACACAAAGGTGCTCTGTAAACCTCTGCCTAGGCTGCACGGAACCGCGTGAATTACGACAAAAGCAGTGCGGAGAGGCATGAGAAACATGGGAAAAAGCCAAAGATCGCGATTAAACCTCAGGGACACAGCCGGCGAGTTTTCGTGCGATTAGCACGTTCCCTGCGACCCACAGTCCCATTGTAAGCGGGCCAAATGCCTTAATAAACCTAAAAGTGAAAAAAACATCCAATGTTTCAGTAAAATGGGCACGGTCGAACAACTAGCTTAAGTGCTCCTATAAAGGGAGACTCCACAGGACAGAGCAGGTGTCGGTACGAAGTCAGCGACACTATCAAAATGCGCAGAATTTCATAAAACAATACAATTCGTCGACAGACGCAGAAAAGAAAAAAACAATTAGCACGAAATACAATTTCCAGTCGGGTCCTGCAGGTAAGCATGATGGCTCTTGACCGGCCATTCTGTCAGCCGCTCATGTACATTACAAGAAATCGCAAATTAAGCGGTATAGACCTTTTTTTACTGATTTTCGGATGTATAAACACGAGTTTTTAATACACATTCAATGATAAATCACGATTTTCCAAATGATAGTTTTGAAGGGAGAGACTATTTCGCCACCAGAGAAAACGGATGCATCCTCATTGCTCTAGCGTGTTAGTGCGCACGGACCCGTGGCCATTTGTTGCCCACTTTGGGAGAAAGTCCAATGATAGAACAGCCGGAAACCTGCCGCTCGATTCCATGCATTGACAGCACTTCCTAAGCCGTAGCTTATCTCCTAAGACCGCCGAGAAATAGCATCGTTCAAACACTGAGGGCTGAAATCCGATATTCGATCATGAAACTAGGGCTTCCCGCAAAGAAGCAAAACGGCAAGGGTTATCCACCGGACGCATCTCGGCTCATGCAGGGTCAAGTACCTTCGAAAACGTCGAGCGGCCGCACTTACTAGCATCGCGAGGGTGCAACCAAGTTGCAATCCTTCTGGCCAGAAAGCGACAAAAGGCGTTGGTGCGGAGACGACTGCTCCGTGGAGGACAAGAGAAGGGAGCTACCGTTGCCGACGCTATACTTACCTGGCACCCCTAGATAACATTATTTGTACCTACCAAGGGGAGCAAACTTCACTGTCTTTTGCCGGGTCGCAAAGAGGACATGCAAGTCATCGTACGAATTAATTAACACGTCGTCAAAGTTGGCCACTGGAGGAGGATGAGCATATGGACTAGCTACGGTGGCGAATTTCTTTCGCACAGTGGGCAATCTCATGGTCACGAGACGGTTGCTGCTATCCTGCGGCAGGCCGTGTTTCGTAACTCTGTAAAAATGGCAATTTCCTTAAAACTTGTGAGTTCCAAAAAGTCAGGCTTTGCACTTAAATAAAAAATCGGTGACGTAGAAACGCCAGAAAAGTCTTACTGACACAGGCGATGGCATATGGATGAATCAAATGGTAAAATAATGTTCCGCACGAAAGTGCGAATTACCATCGCGCAAACTAGCGACGGGTGTTGCAGGTATCACCGTCATCTATGAGTCCTCTATGTCCCGTATTCCACATAAATAAAGTGCTCTAGTGTAGTGTCTGACGCATGTCCGAGAATTGTAGTCCACTAAGTAGGCCCAGGAGTACAAGGCATACGCTGGCCTTGCGGACAGCTGCTGGTCGCTCACCAGTTAAGTAACGCAAATTTGGCTCTGCAAAGATCGGCGACGAAGTCTAGAGCATCCGTCGCAAAAGCAACTGTGCCAGAATTTAATTAACGGTTCAAATGTTTGGCCGCTCGAAATTAATCATGTCAGTTTGTTTAACTAAAAATTTTCCTCCTCCCAATTTCCCACCAACTCCGAACTTTATTCCCCCCTAGCATGATTTGAACGTCATCATGTCTAGATGTCAACTTTTCTTGCACACCTTCATTCAAATAGGCATCATAAATGCAAAATTTTTGGCTGGCAGGGCCGAACTCTTAATAAACGACGTCATCCGTGGTTTGGCACCAGACAAGCAAATTGCCCCCATTCTAGACCCGCCCCGAGCCGGTGTCCATGAGTTTCTTCTGTCAGATATTGCTTTATGGATTTTCACTTCTGGCGCAGAAAATGAGGCGCGCACACTCCTTTGACCGGTCTCCTTAAACAAAAAATGGTCTGGTTTGGTCCTGCAGTCCCACTTAATTAATACCATATGGTTAGCGTCATAAAACAATTGGAGCAGGTGCGATTACGCTGACTCCAAACGCATCACGTGTCATACGCCAGCCTCAGTTACTGCAGGTATCAGTTCACACGCGCTCCCCCTGCGCGTGCTTCGAGCCCTGCCTGCACCCTCTTTATTATCCCAATCCGACGAGTGGCAAAGTAGACTTCCTAGTGTCATTGTTCGGACGATTTGGAATTCCAACGGGTCCATTATGATGGCCATGAACTGCGAAGTAACACGCAATTTCCTCCGTGGTCTTCCAGTTGTGATTGCGGTCTCCTTATCCCCTTAATTCAGCGAGTGGCTCTGTTGCGGGGTGTGTTCACGTCCCGCGCGTTTCCCTGAGCTTGCACAAAGTCCCGTTCACGCCCTCTTTCCCTTCCTAATCCAGCGAATGGCTAAATTAGGTATGTTTACCAAAATTGTTCTAGGAAGCTAAGCATATGGTATCAATCAAGTGGCGCTGCAGGACCAAACCTCGCCCGGACCTTCATGCAGTAGATGGGTTATCTCATGGAATTTTGACCGAGATTCTAAAGCGTGCTTTTGATTCGAAATGATAACTTAAGTAGGGTTGCAATGTTACCGGTGGTGCAGCAGAATCCCACAATAGTTAGGTCACGTCAGGATACCGGTTTTTGAATGGACTTCTTTCCTCCCGTTTGCAAAAGCCACTCACTAAAATATAGCCATTTGAATAGTATGCATTATTCTCACTGATTTTCAGCGTTCTTATATATCCGGATGTATTATGTATACGACACGCACAAAAATATTCGTTCATTAGCTTACTGGGCATCGAAGTACGTCTTCTTTGAACTTTATATCTGAGCAAAGAGAGAAGCTCGGTTCCAAAAAGTTTTTTTGAATTCCCGAATAATCTTGAATCCCACCTGCCATTACACTTGGATCCACGATCTCCCAACTAAAGGCTGCATATTTTCCGTGCAAGGAAAAGGACGCATTTCTGTATGTTAGTAGGAAGGTATCAAATATGATTCATAAAATATTGCGGTGGATTTGAACCATATTCTATACTTTACAAGCAATGTTTAAAAAATATAGAGATACGCTGTTTCACGAAGGAGTGTTTCATGTTCTTAAAATACCTCATGAGTAGAAACTTTTTGAGGCCGAAAAATACTCCTTCTTCAAATATAAAATTTACAGATGTCATTTGCTACCCAGCTGGTAAACGAACGAATGCTTTAATGCGTATCTTCTAAATTATATATTTGACTTTACAAAAGCATTGAAAATCAATGAGAAAAATGCACACCACTTAAGTACATACTTTTCAGAGTGGAGGTTTTGGAGGCGGCAGGAAAGAAGTTTGTTCGAAAGCCGAATTTCTGGGGTGGCTGAAATATCTTGGGATTATTGTTTTTACAGCTCTACTTAAGTTATCTTTTTGAATCGAAAGCGCATTTCAGAATTTCGGCCAACATTTCATGAGACAGAAAATCCACTGTATGTTAAATCCTTATTCGTCCGTGTGGCACTCAAATTCAGTTCGTGTTTTGGCTGTCCTTGGTGAACTTAGTGTAAATAGGACCAAAAACGAGGCATATGAATTTTAGCAAAACTTACATTAGTACCTCACTTGGGTAGTTCTCTTGGTTTCTAAAGTGCTCAATGAGAAGAATGCATGATACCAAAGAAGTGGATACCACGCAGAGGTAAGTCTAAAGCGAAAAAAGGAACCAAAGTGCAGATAAGTGCAGCGTTTATTATTCTATGAACGTCCTGATTTAGTGGTAAACGATAGCAGAATATGATGATATGCAAGAGGAGTACCACTGCTCTCCTCAGTTAGGTGGGCTACAGTAGCAAGAACCACCTTATAAGTGAAAACAGAGGGAAAACAGGAATACTACAAGAAATGAACAGCTTTTACTAATTTTTTTGGCAAAAACGGGAAGGCATCGGCCTCTTAACTGATTTATGACAGGGAAAGTGTACTGAAATTATGGTGATTGGGGGGGGGGTGAGAAGTCAAAGGGAGTACCAACGTAAGAAATTGTTTACTTTCTAGAGGATATGGACAAGAGCCGTGGACAAAGTAATCTAGGTGTCAACGGCATTATAAAAGCTAATTGATAAAGCAAACGTGACTGGTTTAAGGTCGGAAAACGATGAATGACATCAAACTCATGAGCATATTAGGGTAAATCGGACATCGAGGTAGTAAATGAGATGAGGGATATTGACGCAATACACCATCACACAGTTTCATAAACTAATGGAGGCATATGATAGAGAATGAATGAAAAAGAGTACTTACAAGAAACGTGCGACTAAGTTTTACCGAAATAATTTGTGCAGCCAAGGTACTCAGGACTGACAGGCAGAATAAAGGTTTCACGTAGAACCCAGAAAGCTGAAAAAATTCAACCATTTAGTTACCAAACAGAAACAGGCAAACGTAGATGTCAATTAACAGTTTAACGGAATCATTTATAACATTCAACTAAAAAGCCAGACCGAAAACTGAATTTTTTAATTTCGGCATGTTTGGTATTACGCTTACCAAATGCGAGGGACGTAACTTAGGTCTAGATTAGACGTCAAAACACGGGAAAAATAGATCACAATTCAAAAATATACTCTCAAATAAAAACGGTTGCTTAGGGGAGCACGAGACGCACAGATACATTTGTACAGGATAGTACGCTGGCCTTCGGGTCGGAAACACTTCCACACAAACAAGCAGCTCTCGGCAGTTGTACTACTGAGCAGCGGCAAGTCTTTGCGTCAAAATTAACTGCTTTCGTTATTCCTATTCACAGCTGCAGAAAAAGATGCGGAAAATACCAATTTGTATCGATTTTTTAAAAGAATTACCTGGTCCTAAAATTCATCACATGATAAAAGAGTGCATTAGAGTTTTACAATGGCTATAATTATGCGGAATAGCCGAACGCCGGAATGACCATTCATTTAGTACAGTTGCCACGCGCTTACCTGCGCTGCTTTCAAAGTATACAAATGCATTCACACACATCTAGACACTGCATGTGCACCCCGATGCTTCCTAGTAGGGACATAGCGCAATGTCTGATATTGTCTATGGAAAAGTGCCCAGTAAAAAAACACAGTAACACGACAGTTCGACCGTCGTAGTCCACGACGTCTGCCGTGTGCTCCGCTGCAAATTAAGAGAAACCACGGTGACTTGCGTGCGTCTCAAGTTCCTGACCGCTGAGTCAGACACCACGGTCTCTTCGTCAGCACAATTCCTGGAGAAACTCAAAGGAGTAAGCATCCATCCAAATGAGGTCATGGTATCTTTTGATGTACTTTGATGACCTATATGGACACTTGTGGATACATACCAGCGGAATTCTGCGCAAAATCGACGAATCAAGCACACCTGACACATCCGACAGCTATTCCATCTCCAGCACTGCCAACTCCCCGTCCGTCAAAGCGGCCACCACTAGCAGCATCGCCACAACCGACTCAGTAGCTCCCAACATATCCTACCAACCCTGCCATCGCGCATTCACATCACGCATCGGCCTGGCCGATCATATGCGAATTCGCCGTACACAGACTGGCAAACCAGTGCCTCGTAAACCAACAAACACTATTCGTCACTGCCTACACTGGCCGCACCCATTCAGTCATCACATAGGCCTATTCAGTTAAATGCGCCTTCCTGAAGACTTGCGGTAAATTAACCCAGACTAGATTGCATCACCACACACTTGTCCTTAAGCACATGGAACACACATGAATACGTCCAACAGCACACAACGCACACGTAAATCAGACAGCTCTCAAGTAAGTGCGAAGTGTGCTCTTCGGTTCTTCCGCCAACATGCGACATCCGAGTAGACCTCCCCCTTTGTGTGGAATCCCGGTGTGCTGCGCGGGGACTCAAGCCGTGTGCGTGGGACGCGCAGACGGGCTGTTATTAGATCCGTCAGCTTCTATTCCCAATCTCAGCATCGGTTGGTTGACCGGCTCGTGCAATCTATTGGTGCAAGGGGGAGGGGAGAGAGGTGGACTCTCAACATATGCTACCTGCTGTAAACAATCTGACGTGCTCGAATATATCACTGTGCGCTAAAGCCGTGGGTTGGAAGGTTGCCAAAAGACGATTCAACCCACGACTCGACCTTAACCCAGTATGTGTGCCGAGTGACCAAACGATGAACTGAGTCAGACCGGAACGGCTCTTTCTTAATGCGGCCTTTATACACTGCAATTCAGATGAGATACGAACTGCCCGCTTTTTATTGTTGATTGAAATCCTGGTCGTTTATATGCTGAACCAGGAGGTATGGAAGCACGTCTGGGCGCGGGCTCGTGCTGCGCTGGACATCTGCGGTCTCTTTGAATCTGTCTTGACACCAGGACCAGGTGGGGGAGGAGGAAAGAGTGCGTTTGATCCACTACAAGTCTGCCATCACTGTGAATTAATCCAAGCGCAAGTCACCCTCCCTGGGCCCAGCCTGATGCAGAGCACACAGTGGACATCATCGAAATGGACAGTCGAACTGCCGTACGTCCAAAACCAGTTTTTCTGTGAAGGGCATCTAAAAAACCCGGGTCAACGCCCTGCGGTCGGCAGATGCAGTTGTCAAATAGTGCCGACGAAAACTTAAACCTGGAAATCGACCGTCGAAATGGGGCTGCACCTCACCAGAAACAGCCCGAAGTGCAGATGTACCAACTAGTTTGGCTGGAACCTCGGTGACCAAAAGAGGGCAGGGTATGGATGGATAGGAAAAAACGCCGCACTTGGTACTTCGGAGGAACTCGGGGAGAGAAGTATCCCTAAACGACTATAACTGCGAGTCCGACGTCCAACCGCGGGTAGTGTGCCGCGATAATTACTTATTCTGAGGAAGGTCGAGTAATTCAAATGAGAATTAAAGGTTACAAACGCAAGTGTGAAAGAAAAAACTTTAGGTGAATTCCACTACGCAAGATCAACTACAAAAAGTATTGTTCTTGAGGACTGTTTTGGTATCCCAAGAATGCCCAGCTAGGAACCAGACACAGATCCGTAAAGAGAGTGATGACTTTAACACAACTATATATGGACAGAACTGGGACCTAACAAAGCAAAGGGCAGCAACCCGCAGTTGGATAGCTGGCGTGGTTCGGGCAACTAATTACAGTTCCAATGTCATAGAGTCAGAGACCTTACTACTGTCAGAATAGGTACGTTGCATCACTGGGTAAGCAGGAAATAGACTTCTTACAAAAGCAAACGATGCTGTGTGAGGACCACCCGAAGTTTGTACTTACCATGAGAAAGAAACTAATAGATATCATCGCAGATCCGAGGCCCAGTGTTGGGGAGGTCGGAGCGTCCGTAGTGGAGTTGCGAATTGGGAGGTAATTCTTAAAATTCCTTCGCAAACATTTCACTGTGCCATCAAGGAACGTGTGTGCCAAAAGACAGAGAAGCGCGACGGACGTCAACTCCCGTGGAGACGCGAAAGTGGCTGGTGTTGGGGATGGAGAATGAGGGCCGGATATAGATGCAGACAAAATAAGGCAAAATGAGATAAAATATTACCAGCATACTAAAGAAAATTAGCGATATGCAAAAGCATAAGGTTCCTCGAATCAGGCAGTAAAAGTATCACCCGTGTACAGTGGGCTGATGGCTGGGTCTTCGAAGGCATGACGGAGGTTCGCCTCTGTCCCATGTGGGCGCATTTGCTGTTTGCGCGTACAGGACTTCACGATTAAGTAGATTTGAGGTTAGCCAGTGTATGTGTGTCTGTTCCCACGCCCAGTAGTCCCCTCCACTGTACCGTTTTCCCACCCTCTGGCATGAAAAGTGCCATGGAGTGGAGACAGCGACCCCACAGACGGCCTAAACTAATTCGGGTTGCTCTTGCAATGTGAAAAGTCGTTTCATTCGGTGTCCGCCAGAAATGACTAGGCAACCGTATTAAGGGCAGTATTGCTTATCCATAGACGGGCTGTTCACGCTTATCAGCCATTACACCTCAACACCAGTGGTCTAACTGGCCAGGCAGTCGGATGGTGTATGGGAGGGGAAAGGGGGATGAGGTCGATACAGGGAAATCCATCCTCACGACGCAGCAGCGTACTCATGACTATAATTAAACTCACATACATGAATCTACCACGACCAGTTACAAGTCTAGGATTACAAGGCTGTCAACTGACGAACAACTCGGTCCTTTTCGAGAATGAGAGTGAAGCCCTAACGGCTCCGTCTTAATGTGGCCTTCGTGATATTTTATTTCACCCGACACTCGGGGTCCTCCGTTGAATGTCGCCTGGTGCATATGGAGCGGGGACCAGGTCACACGTGGAACTCGTAGACAGGCGGTTTAGATTTGTCGTTCAATTTGTCCGCGTCAACCTCCACTTGTCTCGACCTTTTCTTTTCATCGGGACGCAACGGGTTTAGGAGGAAAGAGTGAGGTAGATGGTGCATCAGTCAACTTCGCTTTCAACTAATTCACGCACATGTTCAAATCAGTCAATTTGGTGTGGTCTGCCTGGCCGCCACAGGCTGAAAATAATGCTATAATGGAACCTCTGCATGTAATACTAGGGACAAATGGCACTTGTTGGCATTCAAAAGGCAAAAAGATGCCTAAATAAAGACTGGAGTGCCTGCAGGAACCCACATCGGGAACGCTGAGAGACCTTATTACAGTGAGCGACCGACCTCATGAAATGTTGGCTGAAATTCTGAAATGCGTTTTCGATTAGGAAGGATTACTTAGACGTGGTTGTAATTCTGATTATCTTGCGGCATAATCCTATGATATTTCGGTCTTGGCAGGATGTCAGCTTTTGAATACACTGCGTTTCAATCTCGTGTAGAAACCGTACTTGGCAAAAAATGACTACTTAATTAGCATGCATTTTTCCCATTGATTTTTGATGACCTTGCAAATTTAAACATATTTTATAGGAACCAAGAACAAAAATATGCTTTCTTTCAGTCGTTAGATAGCAAATCACGTCATCTTTATATCTTATACCCAGAGAAGGAGTATATATAGGTTTTAAAAAAGCTTCTAATTATGAGATTTTTAAGACCGCAAAATGTCTATTCGCATAGCACCGTACCTGCACGTTTACCACTGCTCCTCATAAAATGTACAACGTAGTCCGCATCCATTGTAAAATTTTATGGATCCTATATGCTACCTTTTTAAAGGTATAAAAAATGTGATCTTCACGCGGAACGCATGCACCTTGTAGAC